CGGACGTTACGCGGATGCTTCTTGACCACCGCCGAGCGGATGTGGCGGATCCCGGTGCTCGCATTCATGCCCGTAACAAGCGCGGGCAGACTGCATTGCATCTCGCTGCATGGTGTGTAGATGTTTGTCGCCTGTTGCTCGAGCGCGGAGCTCTCATCGACGATGCCGACGAAGATGGGAACACTCCCCTCCATCTGAGTGCACAAAGAGGGAACTTGGAAGTTATGCGGGTGCTTCTGGAGCACCCCGGCGCGGGTGCGACGAGTCCTGGCGCTCGCATCCACGCCCATAACAAGCACGAGCAGACTGCATTGCATCTCGCTGCAGAGATGGGAAAGGTAGACGCTTGTCGCATGTTGCTCGAGCGCGGAGCTCTCGTCGACGACATCGACAAAAATGGAAACACTCCTTCACATCTTGCGGTTGGGTTTTGTGCGACGTCCTCAGATGCCATCCGCGTCCTCCTAGAGTATCGCGCGAAGGAGAACCTAGGAGGTCTGCCGCGAGCTCATAAACTCAGGAATCGACTACGCCGCCGTGCCGAGGGTTCCGAAGGCGAACCGTGGCGTGCCATTCTTGAGGACTTCGCGTCTCAGTTCAAGACAGTCGAGGTCAGTCTTGCCGAGACATGGTTCGTAGAAGTCTAGGTTTAATGCCGCGCGGGCAGCCATGGATATCGACGGTAGTAGGAAGTAGGGAGCCGGTGGAAGGCTTGAAACCAGTCTCACGGGTTGTGGCTCGGACTTTGGAGTTCGTTTGTATCATCTGTTCGTAGGTCAACCTGTATGCATGTGACGAGCCAGATCGTGAACTAGCGTGCCAGAATGTACGGAGCGTCAACTCGTGGGGGTCAAAGCGCAAGATGTATGCAAGTACAGTGGGCATAGATCATCGAAGGACGCGGGGGAAGAGTGATGACAAGTAAACGTGCAGCATGGTCATAAGGCTCGAGAGTCTGTGCTGCATTATATGCGATCCTCCGCGCTTCATACAGCAGACAACGGCATTGGAAAGCCCTATGAACATCTGATCTCAAAGTCAGCTTAGATTCGATATGGTATATGGAAGGGCGTGGACGAACGCGAGAAGGTTGTCCAAGCATCTCATTTCAGCCGCCTTCGTAAACGACTTTGCGAGATGAGATCTCCGCCTAAGGAAGGATCAGCGCGGTAGACAGAAATGGGAGCAGGAAGCTCACATGAGGGTCCGCACGACATATAGTGAGTCTATGGGCGCATTGATCACACTGATATCGTTCTAGCAGCTTCAGAGAGTCGCATGGGATGGTGTCGGCGGGCGTAGGCAATATCTAGCGATATGCGTCGACATAAGAGATAAGGGGGGAAGCGCGAAAAGATGGTACGTACGTCGGAGGCCCATCAGGCTGGCGAGACAGTGGTAGTCTGGCTGAACAGTAACACAGTCATCACCTTTCTGTGTCCGAAGGAGTCAGATCCCAAGACGAGGTTTTATATGGGGTATCCGCGTACGAGTACAAAGACGCATGGATCGTCTGTTGGCAGTGCATGAAGCGTTTTTCTACGGCTTACAAGAGCCGAGGCGGGTTGATGTACAGAGAAGTGCTATCGAGGCATGGTGGTGGTAGCAGATCAAGATGCGTTGGCGGGGTAGAAAGACGCGCGCTGGAGGCAACTTGGACACAACGCTCACGTCGCGCACTCCACCGCCTGGGTTTTACGATTGCCACATCATTTAGCTTTTAAAAATCCCGCTGGACATGGAAGAGAAGACTATCAAGCGCGGAGACGACACCCAGTGAAGGCGGACGCAGTACAGCTCGACCGTGGGTGCGCTTTCTTCTTCCAGTACCTCAGTTGTGCACATACGCTGACCGCTTTGACAGAGGGCTCAACGGACCCGAAGCGCTCTTCGGCCGCACGATTCCGCGTGTTTGGCCGGCTTCAACAGGCGCCCCTGTCACCCTTTACGTCGACGATGCACCCACGAAACCATTGCACCCATCCCGACCCGGCCCAGTGCGAGCGCCCAGGACTGCAAGAAGCGACCGGGATCCCTGGTGCGCGCTTACCTTTTTGCTTTGCATCGAGGCAAACGAACACCGAATGCGATCAAATAGACCTGGCCCTGTCGGACCAGCGCTGCCACCAGGTCCTCCTGCTAGCCCTTCAACGCCTCGCGCCCGGCGCCATGAGTAATGCCAGGTGGGCCTCTGTGCTTCCTTCTTACTTTATGACATGTACTGAGGTATCGACCTAGTGTACATAGGGTATGCGTAGACGAATAAGCACCGCGAGACGGCGCGCACCCACCGACTCCCACAGCGGCGTCGGATGCGGAGGACGCGTCAAGCGCCCGTCGTTGGGCCCGCGTAGTCGGTGCGTACTCCCATTTCCACATAGATACAGGCTTTC